GGGCGCGGGGCAGGCTGGGGCGGGCAATGCGCCGGAACCCTGTGACCAGGCCTCCCTGCTCCCAGAAACCCTGGCAGTCCTGGAGCTTCCTCGGGGCTCCCAGCTAGCCTCGCCCTCCACTCCCCTCGTGCCCCGAGAGCCACGCTGTGTGACTGCTCAAGGCACCACCCGGACCCGGACCAGGACCCGGACCCTGGACTTCTCCTCCAGACTCACAGAGCGGTGGACGCCAGGCAGTCCGCAGCCGAGGCCCCTCCCCATCTCTGGGACCGGAGAACCGGTGCCGAGCCTGAGCTAGGCCTGGGCTTTTGCGGGTTCACGGCACCACCTCCAGCCTGTGCTTTCGGATGTCAGGATCAGTTTCCTTGGCATAGGGCGAGTCTTGAAGCTCCCTCTTTTTCTCCCACACACAAGACTTCGGTTGTGCATGTCTTTAATGATGCTGTGGTCATCTACTAGCTGTTGGGAAACATGGAGGCCTAGAACCGTGGCTTTTCCCTTTATGCTTTGAAGTCATTAGTGAAAGCTTAGTTCAAAACCAGTCTTAAAGATCAGCCCAAGATCAATGGGTTTGAAAAGCCCCTGGGCCATGTGATCAAAACTGTCTCTTTGTAAGTTACAGCAAATAAGGAAAACATTTTCACTTTATTTTGCTATAACACATGCCCATTGGGGCAATTAAGAAAGGAAAGCACAATGGGAAACATGCAACAGCTCCAGCCTCATTGCTCAACCACTGTCACTGGTGGCAGTTTGGTGCCTTGGCTTCTAGCTCTTTCTTGTCTCTCTGAACAGACACTGAAGAAATTATTTGTGATCTTTTGAAATGTCATGAAAGTGAAAATAAATGATCAAATGGGGAAACCTGATCCACCTGGCAGGCAGGTAGCTGCTTCTGAGTCTGTCCAGACAGCCTGATTCCCAAGAAGGTGCTGAGATGGCCGAAGGAAATAGAAATATAACTGGATTAACCAGGAAACACAAAATAGAAGACAAAAGCTGAGCAAGGGGAGGTGGAGGGAGGCCACGAACCCAGCAAACCTCTTTTCCAGTGCAGCCCCTAGTGATTTCAGCATATAATATTCAAACTTGCAGCTTTCAGGCTGATTTCCCTGTGGATAGCCCTTGGCTACAGATGCAGATAGCCACATAACAAGATGAAAACCTTGATAATAAGCTCTGTTGGAGCAGTCCCAGCCCAGTCCAGAGCTCTGAGGTCAGAAGTGATAACAAGTTCGGTTTAAAAAGATCCTCTGGGATGGCATCTTGTGGCAAGAGAAGGTGGCACCCAGGAGCCAGGAGGGCCACTAACTCAGCTACACCAATGGCCCCAGAACACAGAATGCCACCAAATTTGCCAATTTCACTTTTACTTGCAACCATGAAGAAACAAATAATGGAGCAAGAATCAGCTCTGTTTGACCAGGTAAGTGTTGAGTGTTCTGAGATTGTGATTCCTCCCCTTCCCCTTCCTTTGAAAGGCCAATTTATTTCTTTGGTTTCATACAAGAGCTTCTCACTATTGAGCATGAATATATGTCATTCTCGTGTGGAATTTAGAAAATTATTTGAGAAGGAGTTCCAGAAGATGAAGATGAAATAGGGATGATCAAGGAGATTCACTGGGCAGCTTCTGTAGAGTTCTTGAGCCTTTCACCAAATTTCTCCCAAGGAAAAACAATTGCTCTTGTGTGGTCTCAAAGCCAGAGGCACCTCCCTAGTATGTTACCTGCCACTCCTTAGGTCTCTGATGGCAGCCACTCTACCTTTAACATGGTATGTTTCTTTCTAAGACTTATATTAGTCTGCAAGTTCTCTGAGGACAAGCAAGGGCGTGTTTCAGGTACAAAGTTATACAAAGCAATAGTTTTGACAGAATCTTTTTTTTATTTTTTTAAACCACTATGCCAACTGCTGGCCCCAGCATAGGTTTTTTTTGGGGGGAGAGGTTTTTTTTGCTATAGGGCGCATGCGCTCGCCAGACAGACAGAGAGAGACATAGAGACAGAAAGCGAGAAATCACTCCCCAGGGGGGATGGTCACGCCGCAGTCCCTTCTCCTCCATTCTCCTCTTGGGATCTTGGGCACGCACGCACACGCGCCCGGCGTGAGTTTTAAGCTACTGGGTCCGGGACGCGAACTGCTGCCAACTACGTGGGAGTGCAGCGACATAGCCATTACGCTAACTGCTGGTTCCCCAGAATCTTTAACTGATACTGTCAGATATGACTTCAATCTAGTTTTGACTTTACCGCTATCACTGTGAACTTGGCAAATCTTTTGCCAGCTTGATCTCTGTGCCATGATGTCGTAATGAATGGGCCAAGCCAGACACTCTACCGCAGTAGTCCCCGATCCTTCAGTAAAGTTGCCTAAGGGGAGGAGAGAGGTTAAGAGAAGACACAGAGTCACAGCATTCCTGAAGTACGCTTGAACACAGTGGCCGTGGCTTCAGGGATCCCAGTAAAATCTACTCTTCAGGAGTGAGCAAGTCATCTTTCTTGTTTGGATTTCAAAGAAGGGGGTTAAGGTGAGTCATGGCCATCAGTATAATCTAGAGCCTTGTTACTCAGTGTGGCTCCTGGACCAGCAACAACAGCATCACTTAGAGTTCACGAGAACTACAGAATCTCATGCCCTCCCCAGACCTCCCGAGTCAGAATCTACTGTGTAACCGGGGCCCCAGGTGCTCCACGAGCACTTTAAGGTTTGGTTTGCCGGGGAAGGATCAGGAGGGAGAGATAGACATCTTCCTCATGCCAACAATGCTCTAGATTTCTCTAACTACAATAGAGGAGTTACTTATGTTAGTATCATTTCATTCTAGGCAATCTTAATTTCTTCAGAATACCTTTACTATAGGTGTTTTCCTTGTAGAAGAAAGTTCAGATAACCAAGGTCATCCTAACCATTGTCCATGATCATTCCAGCTGTAAAGAGCCTACTCAGAGTCCAGGCTTCTGGGCCATGTACTGACTGGCCCTAAACCACTAAGGAACACCCGGGGAACGAGAATGAAATGCCTATACCTGGATCCCACCTGAGACAACATAGACCAAAGTCTCTGAGATTGGGGCTTGGTAATTCATTCTTTCTTTCTTTCTGTCTGTTTGTCTCTTCCTTCCTTCCTTCCTTCCTTCCTTCTCTCTTTCTCTCTTTCCTCCCTTCCTTCCAATGAAGGACTCCTCAGGTGATTCTAACATGCAGCCCAGGTGCATACCACCTCTTCTCTAAGATTCAAGTTACTGTTTGTGAATTGTGAACAGGATTTATAAAACTAAAGAAGCATGGGACCAGCAGTTAGCATAATGCCTATGTCGCTAGACTCCCACGTAGTTGACAGCAGTTTGTGTCCCGGACCCAGTGGCTTAAAACTCACGCCGGGCGCGTGTGTGTGCGTGCCCAAGATCCCGAGAGGAGAATGGAGGAGAAGGGATTGCGGCATGACCATCCCCACTGGGGGGTGATTTCTCGCCTTCTGTCTCTATGTCTCTCTCTGTCTGTCTAGCGAGCGCATGCGCCCTATAGTGAAAAAAAAAAAATCCTCTCCAAAGGAAAAAAAAAAAAAAAGGCACAACGGCCAGCCACCG